GTTATTTTTTATGATTTGAAACCTAATCAGGTATAGCTATATTGCATGCTTATAAGCTATACTATTTGATAAATATTTTAAATTAATTATACAAATGTTATTGAATGTGTTGTTGATAATAATTTCGTATAATACGTGCCACAAGCATTTGTTAGAAAAGAATAGGCATGCATCGTACGTAGAAAAATATAAATAAATAATAGAAACTTAGTATATAGTATAGTTATGATGATAATTTTTATAAGTTTTAGAGGTTTTGGGATGACTGACAAACATTGAATAATATGCGCGTTCAACGAAAAACGACGGTAATAATAACGTATAATTTGATGCGTATTATGTATACTGTATATATACACTAAAGTTGCTTCCGTTGCTGAAATAATATAGAATCGAAACCAGTAAACCGGAAGTTTGCTGTACGTCAAATAAAGGGATAACTTACGATTGGCTAAAACGAGTGCACGCGCTCGAGGTGAGAGCGAGTGAAATACAGACAGAGAAAGATAAAGAGCGAGAGAGGAATGGCAACATTTTTGAAATTATTATACTCATTGCTACCGTCGCAACTATATTATTTGTTCCGAGCGAATAAAATGTTTGAATAAAAAAGTACTATATGTATGTACCCCATCGTCTTTCAATGGCTGCGTTTATTTTTCGAAATGCGTACATCTACTCGCGTCCGCCCTCCCCCGCATTCAACAATTCAGCGGACTTTATTTATTAATATTTTTTTTTTTCACATAATAAATTACCTACCTTTGAGAGGAGAACCTTTTGTCGACGACATGACCGCCGGGTATAGACTCGGAGACCTACGTAATATTATGTTCCCTGGAACTGTAGCTGTGGCGATAGTCGTCACAGGGAAGAGGTATTAATACCTCGGTAAAGGACGCACAACTACAAAGCGGGCGTACATAATAATACAACAACAATGGTAATAAGTACGTGCGCTATTTTTAAGTGGGCTGCGTGTAATTTTATTCGGAAAATTCGCATTTTGCGGACACGTTACGGTTGTATGTACGTTTTGGTTTCCAGGGCACATAAACGGTCCTCGATGTTGGTTTAAAATCTCCGGTACGTTTTCTAAGCCATACGTGACCCGAATGCGTCGCACCACGTACATATTATAATAGTATAGGCGTTGTGCGGACATTAGTGCGGGTTCTATCAGCTGGACGGCGTTTTGGTTTTCCGAAAAGAGAGAGAGTGATTGAGCGGGCAAGAGAGGGGGAGGAGAAAGAGAGAGAAATGAAAACTAAATAAAATGAAATCCACGTCTGTACCGGAGCCGTCGTCCAAAATTATGTACCCTCTCTCGAACGATTGCACTCCACAGGGCCACCGGAAAATCGAGATTTTATACCGGCGGGCCTTTGACTATATATTTATAAATCGTGACCCCTATGTTGTCGACAGCACAGACTATATTGCGTTTGCTTATTCCCAATGGATACAACATTTTTTAAACACTGTGTAGACTTATGAGCATTTTCGTTTTTTGATTAAAATCGGTTTTAGTTTGGAAAAGTATAAAAAGAAGAAATTATCAGCGTTATCGATTACGGGAAACACAAATTCGGTACGGGTCCTTTGGTTTATTGTGTGTATGCTGCCAACTCCGGTTGTACACGAGAAAAGTTACGAACGCCATTGTACATAATTTAAATACATTAAATACTCGTACAATTGTGGCTTTGGCATAATGTAGACATATAATCTTTTGGAGGGTACTATAAATTCACTTTGAGCTTGGGCTAAATATTATTTAAAATGATCTATTATAGTTTTAAGTTTGTAATTTAATAAATTTGCTGTTTTCTAAGGTTATAACAGTCATTAAACTACAAATTATAACTAAACGTTTCCTGCATAAGGTTGGTATAAATTAGATTATTAATTAATAGTTTTAATTTTAAAGCTGTTTTTCTCTTAATGTTTTAAATTTGTCAATTATTTTCTAATAATTAATAATATTTGTAATATTTTTTTCTATGCATAAAACTGTTAGGTTTGAGAGTTAAGATTGTTATGTTTAAGTAAGCATTATCCTAAGTTTTAATTCTACATATTGCATAAAAATTAATAATCAATTCTAAAGTCACATAACTTACAGACATATAATATGATAGTATACCTATTACAGGTTATAAGAATCAACATGCATTAATTAATAATACTAATGAATATCTCCCGAATTATTTTTATTAAGTTAAAATATAAATAGACTGTAGTGAAAAAAAAATAAATACGTTAAAATATATTTCTATAGAACAATAAAATTATCAATAATATTATTAATACGAAAAAATTGAATTAAAAAAAAAAAAAAATCGAGGTTTTTAACTGTAGTCAAATACTATAAAACTATACTATTCGGGCACTCATATAATATTCTCTTACCTAAAGTAACATATTATTGTCTTTATTGTAAACGGTCAATCGTACTATAACCACCGCCGAATGCCGATGTATTATCATTTAATTAACGGTGTATAATTACTATGTAGGTATACGTGGTTGTCGCGTAAATACTCGTGACAAAATGTGGTTTAGTCGTATATAGGCGTATGTGGCATATTTATTGTACAAATGAGTACGGTAACAATGCCGTTGCACCGGAATAATGGGACGGAGAAGGAAAAAAAAAGGTAAAACACTTTTTCTGCAATTTCACGTCGTTGACTGGATGATAAATTATACGTTGCACGGGAAATGGTCGCGTCTCATGTTCAGGTATCGTTTTGAGGAGCGTACATCGCGGCGCGCGCTGTAGAACATTAGCACGTGGAAAAGCTCGAGAAGGGTCGCACATAAATTTCGTTTCCCTCTTAACAACGACCAACGGAAGGAAAACATAGAAAAAAACACCTCCCTTCAAAAGGAGTAGCGTAAAAAAATAAAATAAAATAACGCATAAATATAATTCGCAAACGATGACGTGGGCTTTTTGGGGTTTCCAACATAACGTACCTAATCGCAAAGGTCTATTTACTTCTCCAAGCGAAATCGGTGCACACGCCATGTTGGGTGATAGTGTGTCGTTGTTCCGGTGCAAAACTTCGAACTGAGCGTGTGTAGTGGCAGAGAAAAACGGAAAATATAAAAATGAAATGTTTTACAGTGGAATATTGTATTTGATTATACCATTATATTATTTATAAGTATATCGCCGTTGGCGATTAAAATCCAAAAGGCAAATAACAATGAAGTTTATCTCATCCTACGGCCGTAACGTTAATTGGAATAAAACGTCTTTTGGCGTGTTCGGTTATAAAATGTAAACTATAATATCAAACGAATACGAACTACACTCCGTACACCCGGACTACAGATAATTATATACCATTAATTCGGGTATCCCGATTTCTAGGTACCAAAAGTAAGTTTTGGCAAATTTATTGCGCCAAGTTGAATCGTAACTTATATTTTATTGTGTGCCATATAACTGTATAATATATGCGGCGCTCGCTGTTTTCAAAAACGCCGCGCCAAAACAATGGGGGTGAAAACAAAAACTATTATTTAGAATTGTATCTATATATTAATCTCGGGAACGAACAAAAACGATCTATTGAAAACGCAGCAACAATTCCTGTTGGACCTATTGTACATTAACCGTAATTATCTCGTATGCGCGGGATATGAACTGCACAGCACTTTCGAGACGCGGTAAGTGCCGACTATACACTATATGAATGGATCAATATTAACGGATGTGATAAAAATTAAAATGTATTTCAAGTACAGCTGATATACAGTGTATGATAATATTATGAAACTTTACTGTATACGCGTTATTTATTCGCCTATTATAATTGTAATTTTTGAATTGTTCACACACTAAGTTATGCGGGTAGTTAGTTTTAAACTTCACTAAACATTTAATCCTGTTGAAATTTCTTACACTTTCTACCAAAATTTCATACATAATATAAGAACTATAATTATAAGAAAATTATCTGAAAAATATTTCACGTATACCGTACTTCACAATAATTATAGATTTCTGAAATCACAAAAAATCCACGTGGCATACACAACGATAATATATTATATTATATTATCTAGGTATTCGTACGTTACAAAATCCTAATTTATCGGCACACAGAATTTTCTATTTTTGTAGGTAATCGAAACGAATAAGGTTTGTTCTCGTCACGTCATCCCTCATATCATATATTTCGTTTACAATATTTTCATGGCGCCGGCGGTGATGGTGTAGTGAAGGGTGATCGCCAAGAACGTTGTATATCGGAACCGTAAAAAAAATATAATAATAAAAAGAGCAATTGTTATGTAAATTCGGTCCTTATGTGTTTGTCACCATGAGATCGGTAAAATTGTTTTCTTTCAAGACGATCATATACACTTTTTCGCATTGCACATACGAACATACCTACAGTCTACACATGTGTTATATATATAATGATATGTATATGCTTATTACTACTATTTCCAATTTTATGTCATTTTCCGCGTGACAAAATAAAGCAAAACTAAAATTACCCCATTTTCTTCTCATCTTTTGTACAACGTGCATGTGTATTTTTTAAAAATCGCAAAAATTCGAATAGTAGTTGCAACGCCTTTGCCGACAAAAATAAGGTTAGACAAGGGTAGAACATTTTTTTTTTTTGTCATTGACGTGTAAACGGGGATGAAAAAAGTATAAAAAAAACCAAACAAAGATGAAGATGTCATGTTGTATTAAAAGTACAATAGAGACCTCAGACTTTCAGAGTTACGACTAGTATATTTTACGAAAAATCGATATTTTCATTAATAATGTGCATATTATGTTTGCGTATATGTATTTCATTAGTTTAATGGTTGCATTTAAATACGCACCACAACTCGGCAATAATTTAAATTACTATTTACTAATATACTTATGTACTTACTATACACATATAAAAATTAAAAGTATTCATTTCGACTACTTTTATAATTTTTTTTAAATTTAATAATATAGAGAAATTTATCTGTACCTGTTGACTGTTCCAATTTTTTGCGTTGGACGAATTCTTCATGTTCGAATTTTTCGAGATAGTTGATGTCGCTATTTGTTGTTGGGTGTGATGCATAATTTGTTGAATAATATCGAATTGCTGTTTTGTAAATCTGTCTTCGTTGTCTGCCGCATTTCTCGTTTCCGGTTGGCCATTCTGTTGACAAAAATACGAAACAAATATGCTCAATTTCTTTAGTATTATTTTTAAGGCAATCAACTGCATAAAAGCTTGGGTAGATTTTTATTTAGATAAACAGTAAATAAGCTTACAATGTAATTTTCTCGTCGTGTATACAATTTTGGTTTACTGGAATAGCATATTGTGTGCTCATCGTAAGCTAACAATAGTAGTTTATTGGTTTTAGTTATATTGCATTTGATATATATAAATATATTATATATATTTATGAAATATATTTTTTCATTTTTATCATAAGTCAAAAAGTATTAATACTTTATTGATAAAAATTGTCTGATTTGAATAAAATATATTAATTCATCTGCAGTTTTCTTTAATAATACTTCAATATTGTTAAATGAAAAGCACATTATTATTTTTTGATGTTATACTTAATAAATTTAAATAAATACACCTACCTACAATATTTTATTATAAATTTTAATTGTTGTATTTTATCTTACTTTACTGAGAGTCGTAATAAAATATACGAGAATCGTTGTATGCGAGTATTACGACGATTAAAGAATTTATAGCTATATATAATATTATATCTTTCGCGTTAAGTGATTATCATAATAATTTGTTTCATAAACCATGACGTGTGTGTATACCATGAATAATTTTCAACTCGAGGGTAATTTGCGCACACCACTATCTATATAATCTATATAGGTAATAATAATATTATATAGTATATTATTATTGTTGTATTGTATATTACATAGTCGACAACTCTAAGTAACGTTATACCTACTTAAAACCTGAACAAGAGTTTTTAATTTTGAAAAAAAGTTGAATTGCACTGTTGAATATATAAAAATATAATAAACATATTATATATATATATATGTGCGTGTGTGTGTCTTTCCCCTAAATGCAGCATATACATGATATCTGTAAATATACGTATAATAATTATAATATGTGGTACTCATCTTTTGGCTTACAAGTGTGTACAGTCATGTGGCGCTTGACTTGGCGCACGTACTTCAGAATCCCTAACCGACCGACCCGCCCAGACACGGGTTTCCTCCGAGTTGAGAGTCTCGAAAAGTCGTCGTTTGACCGAGATCAAATAACAAAACGCAACCGGGCATGCGGCCTCGTGAGAGTGAGATAGAGAATGAGTTAGCAGAGCGGTATAGTGTACGGGAGGGGTGGGATACAACGGGATCGCCGCGACGTCGAACTTCGGTTTCATTTCGTGACACTCGGCTCGGAAGTAATTTGAACTTATTACCTCCAAACGCCACGTTATTTCTCCATTGTCTGCGTGCCGGATGACGGGATGTGGAGACGGGGACGACGACAACGACGATGACGATGACAATGACGACGAAGAGACCCGTGCCGCATGAAGTCGTGGTCTTCTCTCGCTTACGTCGCACACAACCCTTGTTCCCACGAGGAACGGTAGATTGAACTTTTAGATATAAACCGCAAGAAAACTTGATACTGCGCGCGGCGGTGCAAATATACAAAATTGTATACACATTACATTCACACACAAAAACACCTATATACGACTATGGATAATAACGTATTGGCGATCCGTAAGCGCACAAGTGACTATATATATATATATATATATATATATATATTGTATACCAGGTCTACAAGCAAATGTTTGCTGCGTTTTTTCTCCTACTAGGTTTAATGAGTAAACATGTTTGAAACACGCTGGTAAACTTAACAAAAATCACGGTTACTTTTAATTTAGTTTCATTTCATAGCTATGAAAAAGGACAGACAATTGGACATATCAACGTTCAAATAGATATAACTTCGGTTTGAATAAAAGTAAATCAATAATTGTTGTTTTTAGAATTTGTTGTATGAATCTTTGGATAATATATATATGATTTTTGATATAAAAGGTTATTATCAATCTAAATATCATTAATCTATGTCTAGATTTATTCACTTTTTTTTATAGACAGAATTAGTTGCATTAATATTTTTTTACGTCATGTGTTTGATAGCAAAGTGAAACTAAAATTAGTCCCATCTACGAGTATATTCAATGCTTTATAATTCATAATATACGTGCTAAGTATATAGGGCGAGAATTAAAATTTGTACTCATGGATCATGTAGGCATTATAGATGCAAATAGTACTAAACAAAAATAATATACCTATTATATAATATAATTGTTCTCTATTTTCAAAATTTAAAATTATGATGCATGAACAAGTGTATAATTAATTAATACAATATATTATGTTTCAATGTGTAAATGTTAAGGTTTATAAACATGAAATATAAATATTATTCGGATGGTCTCAACGTTGACCAGTTAATATTGGACTATGTTATAAGTTATATTTTAATTAGAGGAAAAGTTTTTGTTAGCTTTCTGTATAGTATTGCAATAATAAAGCATTGGACTGTCAAAGTACGAGTATAATAACTTATCCCTTATATTAACGATAAATTGAAAAATAAATGAGTCTAGTATTCTAGATAGGTATTGTATCTTAATTGGACGATATTTTTATTATAATTTTATTACTCGCTATATAATACATCACACCGATTAGGTGTAGTTATTCTGTTTTCGTACATGATATTCGTGAGTGCAATTGTTAAAAAATACAAAAGATATTCATGTAAGGGGAAATGTGATACCGATCGATATAAGTGTAAATCATCTAGCATTTTGTGCAATTCAAAATATTACGGAAACATGCCATGTAATAATTTAAAATATAAAATACTCCATTTAGTGTTATATATTTAGTAGGTAACTCATTAAAAATAAACTCATTATATTGAATAATAATAATAATATTATATTATGTCTTTTATAGTTATTAATAATTATGTCTTGAATATATTTAATATTGTTAGTAATTTAAAATTATTATATTTCATGCGTGATATATTTTTAAAGCTGTCAAGGCATTATTCAAAAGTTCTTGACTAATATCATATAATCCGGTTAATGTTACCATTAGTCAACATTTTATAATATTATATGTACGATAACATATGGCTAATGTCGATATTATCCGTAAAATAAGCACTATATAATTATGTGCGTGTTACAGCTATATAGAAACAAATATTTTAAGTAGGTATGCATTTTTATTTAGAAATCATATTTTATAAATTTTATAGTAATATTCATATTTTGTTTTTCACAGTAATATTGTATTAGAACTAATTTTAATAAATCAAAAATGACACACGACTATTGAACTATTGACACGAAGTAATTCAATTCAATTTTAGATTACTCGAATATTGTCATCGTATCACGTAAAAGTAATATTTTTTATATTTTATTGTGTGTACGAATACGCGTAAAGTGAAATGAGCCACGAACAGCGGAACATGTATTGAGCTATAAGAGAGTTTTTCATTAGTTTTTCACATCGGTCGGCGCATGGCATAAATTTGTTTTAGTGGATTTTTTTCCATGTGCTTTCATCTATCTCGTCTTATTTGTTTCCACAGCGTTAAGACGATATTCTTTTCATTAGAAAACATCGCCTTGTAGACGGCTTAAGATGGTAAAGGAACGAGACAGATGCATAGGAATAGAGAGAACAAGTGAGAGGGAGAAAAAGCGAGAGAACGACATTGAGAAAGAAAGGGATAAGAGAGTAAGCGGTAGAACGGAAAGCGTAATTTAATATTCTGACGCTAACGTCTTTCGATATTGTTACGTTTTCTCTTCGGCTTCTCCTGAAAATGACATTATCTAATTTCGCAGGCGGCGCGTCCTGCTGCGTGGGCGACGGGAGTATATGTATACTCCTTACCGTTTTCCAGGACAATAATCCGCTCATGGCCCCGGTGATGATGTAGGCGCTTACGACGAAGAGACACATAACTCCGGCAGATGCACGAGCGATTACGCACCCGTGTAATAGCCGTCCACGTGTTTGTGAACTTTGTAATATTATGCACCTATATTATTATACGATATTATATATACCTACTAGTTACTGGTCGTTAGTTCTGTGTACCTACACTTTTATTTTTATTTTTTGGCAGCGCTGTCGATGTATGTGTAGAAATATAATATGTGAACTTTACACTGTAGAGAGAGTGAGATAGGTAGAGAGAGAGAGAGAGATAAAGTAAGACAAACCAATGATGTTGAAAATCACCATTGAGTATTTTTTTGAAAAAAACATTTTCTACCTTTTACAAAGTTCTTATGCGCGTCATTACTTGGCGAACTTTGATTACAGTCGTGAATTAATTATACGGTACGCGCCGTTTACGAGTCAATAGTAATTATTACATGTGTCAGACTGATTTTTACTTTTAATTGCTTACCACCGGTGGCTTAATGTTGTAATTTTATTTCTTAAGAGTGACATTGGTGATGTCGATACTTGTCGACAGTTGTCCTTTAAGACTTTGTCATAAATTTGAATATTTGATTAAATATTAATATACGCATATTTTATTGATTTTAATACCAATTTGTTGATATATTTTCACGTTTTTGATAACACTCGTGTCTCAATTTATTATGATACACTAATGACATAATATTGATAATTTTAATCAGCATAATAATATGCTAATATCGAAATATTAAACGTATCAGATTTATTTTACGGTAGTTTGAAAAATAAATACAGTTTAATTATTTTTTGATTATGTTGGTGTTTTGTTCGCAATTAGCTTTTCGCTTAAATTATTCGAAAGTCAAAACGTATACTGTGTAAATTATAAATAAAACATTATATTATAATCTGTTCTTTAAATACTAAAATTTAAAAAAGTATTCTAAAAAAAAAGAAATGTTACTTGACAATTACGAAGGATTGCGTTATGACCAATTAAAACATTTTCGTGGTTAAAAGTCAGTATAGCCAAAATTTAAAATTAGACCATATTTAATAACGAAAGTTAAGTGCAGTTTTGAAATATTATACTAGAAAGAGTTTTAGTGCTTTTAAATTTTGTTGAGTTAAAACCGGTAGATTTTACTGCTGAATATTGTATGA